GAGTGCAGTGGCACGATCTCGGCTCACTGTAACCTCCAATCTCCTGGGTTCAAGTGATTCTCTTGCCTCAGCATCCCCAGGTGTGTGCCAACACACCCGGCTTATTTTTGTATTTTTAGTAGAGATGGGGTTTTGCCATGTTGGTCAGCCTGGTCTCGAACCCCGACCTCAAGTGATCTGCCCGCCTTAGCCTCCCAAAGTGCTGGGATTTCAGGTATGAGCCACCATGCCCGGCCTTGTTTCTCAATCTTCTCAACTCCAAATGCACAGGGCTGCCAGACAAAACACAAGGTATCCAGTTAAATTAGAATTTCAAACAAACAATTTTTTAGGTAAAAGAATGTTTTAGGGCCGGGAGCAGTGGTTCACGCCTGTAATCCCAACACTTTGGAAGGCTGAGGCAGGCAGATCGCAAGGTCAGGAGTTCGAGACCAGCCTGACCAACATAATGAAACCCTTTCTCTACTAGAAATACAAAAATTAGCCGGGCGTGGCAGCACACGCCTATGCTGGTTGCAGTGAGCTGAGATAATACCACACTGCACTCCAGCCTAGGAGACAGAGCAAGACTTCGTCTCAAAAAAAAAGAAAAAAAAAAAAAAAAGAATGTTTTAGTATAAGCATGTCCCATTCAATACATGGGCTGTACTTGTTGTACTAAAAAGTTACCCGTATTTACCTGAAATTCAGGTTTAATTGAGTGTCCTGTGCTTTTATTTGCCAAATCTGCCAACATGGGGAGGAGAGGTCAGTGAGGTTCCAAGTTGTCCCCGTCTCTTGGTATCAACAGTTTAGGGTCTTAATCTGTCTCTAGAAAATTTTCACACATTTCTTATTCAGAGGCTGGTTCCTGGCAGCTCATTCCTGACACCTAAAATAGTTGTTTAAGCAGAGCAACAGTTTCAATCCTTGGAGGCTACTATAGCAAAATACCAAAGTCTGGGTGGCTTGTAAACAATAGACATTTATTTCTCACTGCTCTGATGGCTGGAAGTTCACGACCAGGGTGCCAGGGTGGTCTGGTTCCAATGAAGGCCCCCTTCCATGTTGCAGCTGCCAACTTCTCATTGTATCCTCACATAGTGGAAAGAGGGGAAGAGAGCTTTCTGGGATTTATTTTATATTTTATGTTATGTGATTTATTTTATTTTATTTTAATGAGCCAGGGTCTCACTTTGTTGCCCAGGCTGGAGTGCAGTGGCGCAGTCTCAGCTCACTGCAGCCTCCACTGCCTGGGCTCAGGAAATCCTCCTGCCTCAGCCTCCCACGTAGCTGGGACTACAGGCATGTGCCACCATGCCTGGCTAACTTTTGTATTTTTAGTAGAGAAGGGGTTTTGCCATGTTGCCCAGGCTGGTCTCGAACTCCTGGACTCAAGCAATCCATCCACCTCAGCCTCCTGAAGTGTTGGGATTATAAGTGTGAGCCACTGGGATCTCTTTTATAAGGGCACTAATCCCATTTAGGAGGGCTTCACCTTCATGACCTAATCACCTCCCAAAGGCCCCATGCCTAATCCCATCACACTATGGGTTAGGATTTCAACATCTGGATTTTAAAGGAACAAACATTCAGTCCATTGCAGCAAGTAATCGGGACAGCATAGGAGAGGCTGCACATGGATTTTTTTTCCCCAACCACTGTGTGTTCCTTGAGTGCTAAGTCCTGATGCTATGGAGAGATGCTGGGATCCCAGCCCTGGAGGAACGCATGATGTGGTGGAGGAAGCTGCTATCACACAAAGACAAGCAAAACTGCTGGCCCAGCCAAAACTGCCAGAGGTGGGAGGAATTCGAAGATTCACAGAGACGCCCCTAGATGGCACCCTTAAACAAAAATCCCAATGGAAACCCCAACTCAGCTTTCCAAAGCAACATCCATTCAGGGAATGATGATTGCTGGGCTTTTTAATCTAAGGAAACACACACACCCCCCACAAAAAACTATATTTTCCTGGGTGGGGAACCCAGCATTTTGCAGCTGAACAAAGTGCATGACGCCAGACAAGATTGGCCAAAACTTAAGAATTTAGGGACTCTTGTCTGTCCTATCCCCACTATTAGCTCTTCTTTTCTGCTATTGTGGAAGAATTACAGCAGGATTCTGTGGTTTATCATCATCATCATCATCATCATCA